TTCTGTTTTTGATACGGGAGCCCTTCCCGTGCTTACAGTCTAGATGAGAGTTTAGTAGGCAGTCTTGAGGTTGGGGAGGGGAGGGCCGGGGCGGGGGTCGCTACCAAATGTGGCACTGCGCTCCGCCCCCGCCTCCCCCCGCTCGGTTGGGCCCCGTCGGACAGCCCCAAGCTAGCGAGAAGTCCCTGGAGTTGGCGAGTGAGCCCTGGACACGGAAGCGGTGCGGGGCGTGCGGGTCCGTGAGGACTTCGTGCAGCAGGGACTCCTTCGTCGAGGACTCGCACCACATCTGCAACACCATACTCCTCGTGAGGGCGCTGCCGGGCGCAGCCACGTCACGCGTCAAAGCAGCAGCCGTACGCCGTACCGTGGCGAAGCCGAGGAAGAAGAGCTGCTCGGGGGTGAACTCCTCCAGTCCGACCAGTCGTGGCTCCGGCCCCGCCCGCTGCAGGTACCGCTGGTACGCCTTGTAGGCCAGCCGCAGGCCGCCGCTGTCGGCGATGTTCTCGCCCTGCGTCGTCACGCCGTTCACCGTGGCCGCCGTGCCCAGCACGTTGTCCAGCTCCGGCACCCGGTACGAGTCGTACTGCTGCACGATGCACTGCGCCTTGCGCAGGTACGTCTCGAGCGTGGCGGCGCTCCACCACTGCGCCAGGTTGCCCTGGGCGTCGCTCTGGCGGCCCATGTCGTCAAAGCCGTGCGTGATCTCGTGGCCGATCACCACTCCCACGCTGCCGTAGTTGAGCGCCCTGTTCCAAGAAAACGGGTTGAGGTTTTCTGTCCGACATTTGGTCGGTAACGGCGGTGCCCTCAAAACACGTACTCGACGCGCCCCCGGCTGAAGAAGGGCGGCTGCAGAATCCCAGCGGGGAAAACTGGAAAACAAAGAAGTGGCACAGTGCGTTTGCTTTTCAAGGCTGAATCACGTGCGTTGACTTACTAATGGAATTGGCGCCAGGGTTGTAGTAGGCGTTCACGACGGCGGGGCCAGTCAGCCACCTGGTGGGCAATCAATATCAGAGGGGAGGTTCGAGGTTCTCGGGGCCGTGCTGCTCACTCGGAGTCACTTACTCTGCGCGGTCGACCGGCCTCCGGAGCTTGACGAGGGACTGGCGCACGAGGTAGCCCCGCACGGCCTTCATGTTGCGGAAGTGGCCGCCGCCCACCGTCACCCCGCGGTAATGCTGCTCCAGCGCCGACGCGTTGGCGTACCAGTCCGGGTAGCCGATGAACTCCGTCATGGCCTCCGCCTTGTGTAGCGCAGCGTCCCGGGTGTCCGAGTCCATCCAGTCGACGGCCGCCATGTCCGCGGCGAAGGAGGCGCGGAGGTCGCGGACCAGCGCCACGGCCGACAGCTTGGCTGCGTCGTCGAAGTGCCTCGCGACGTACTCGTAGCCGACGGCGAAGCCGAGCAGACTGCTGGCGCGCTGCACACAGTCCTTCCAGCGGGGCGAGTCTTCTAAGGTGCCGATGAGCGTGCGGTCGAACTGGAAGGCGAGCTGCCGCATGGCGTCCGTCAAGTCCCCGGAGAGCGCGCGCACCAGGCGCCACCAGATGTAGTTGGCTGCAACAACGCGACCCCTGGGCGGTCACAGTCAAGCCCAGCGGAGCCCCCTCCGGGTCGGCCTCCGCCACTCACCCAGCACGCGGCGCGGCGTCTGGTCGACCAGCGAGACAAGCTTCTGCACGAAGTCGAGCTCCCGAACGACGATGCGCTCCGACGGGTCCACGAGCACGCCGGTGCCGGCCATCATCCCGCGGAGCACGTCCAGCCAGCGCACCTCCGAGTCAGGCCGCACGGGCCGCACCGCCCCGGTCCACGCCTGCAGCTCTGCCAGGGTGCGGGGGTTGTACGTGCGGAACCCGTCGCGCCGACCCTCGGCCGGGGTCGTGATCTGGAAGCAGTACCGTCGGTCAGGCGGTCGGACCGCAGGGGTGGGCAGGGCGACCTGTGTCGTGCGTCTTTTACCCTAGCGAGCTCCGTCTCGAAGAGCACGACCTGCTGGGCCTGCTCCGTGACGCGCGCCGGGTCCAGGCGCACGCCCGCGGCGCGGCCCACCTCCGTCGCCGCGCCCGACATCCAGGCGAGCATGGCGGCGTGCTGCGGGCGGTAGGAGGCGGGCTCCAGCAGCATGCGGCGCGCGAGCGTGAGCGCGGGCTGGTCCAGCGTGATGACGTTCCGGGAGGAGTCCATCTTGTCCGTGAACACGTACATGACGAAGAGCGGGGCGATGGACCACTGCGCCAGCAGGCGGGTCACGGCGGCCTGCCAGCTGAACGAGGCCTCGTCCCAGGCCTCGGCCTGCATGGCCATGGGCCAGCCGCCCAGCGCGGCCAGCTCCTCCAACAGCGGCGACAGCCCGTCCGCCTCCACGGCCTCTGTGGTTGTGTTCAGGAAGGTGAGCATGCGCATGGATGTAGTGCTGCACTACAGTAACACTTTGTCTAGGCTCACCGGAGTTGAGGCAGGTCTCGTACAACTTCTTGGCCTGTCGGACAGGGACCGGCTCTCCGGGGTTCGCGTCCACCTCCAGGATGCCCTTGAGCTGCCGCTGCAACCTGTCCTCGGCCTCGTTGAAGTGGTTGAAGTGGGACTCGGTGGCCGGCACGGGGTGCTTGGAGATCCAGCCGCCGCATGCGAACTCGTAGAAGTCAGTGCACGGGTCCGCGGACATGTTGAGCGACTCCAGGAGCGAGCGCGCTGTCAGCCAACGTGGTGCGGCGCAAACATGTAGTCATAATTCAGTCACAGTCACAGAGCTATCCCCAAAATTAAATTACCGGATCTTACCGGCAACTCGGCACGCCCTGCTCTCGCACACCTCGTAGGACTCGAGGATGGCTCCGTTCTCCAGGTAGTTCCCTCCTCCGCCTGCGAACGCACGGAGGAGGGCTGCGGGTTACAGCGCGTTACGTCCATAAAGGTGTCCCCACAATGAGCGCGAGGCGATGCCGGGTAGGCGATGCCGTGCAGCCAGGCCGTGCTTGCAGGCCGTGACGGCAGGTTTACCGACTTTTATGCGAATACAGCTTTACTTAGAAGATCGGAGGCGTAGCTCCGCGTAAGCGGCACGGCCTGCAAGCACGGCCTGGCTGCACGGCATCGCCTACCCGGCATCGCCTCGCGCTCATTGTGGGGGCACCTTAATATGCGGGCCAAAAACACCCCCACTCTCCCGCAAAAATGACAGAAAAAACATGAGGGAAGTCCAGGGTACCCACCGACATCGTAGTTGAAGATGTTGCGGCCCTCAGTCAGGCAGGTGAGGGCCACCAGCACGCAGACGACGCTGACTAGCCTGGAACAAGCGCGTCTTGTGCCAACTCGTATCATTTCGCGTCACTCCCGCGATCGCATGCATTATCCGACCCGCTTTGCCCCGCGCGTATTTTTATCGCATGCTCCGCTGGTCCAAATGGGGAACGGGGCCTGGGTTAGATCATTGCCCTTCCCCTTCCCGCCTACTCGGAGTACGCGTTCTGCGTACCCGCGGCGAGCATTATGGGGACGGCAAAAGCAAAGACTGACCCGTTCGATAGAAAATCTCGGCTTTTCTTAAATGAAGTAATTGTAATCTTCACTTAATTTCTGTGGGTCAATTCTAAACAATATTTAAATTTGAAAAAAAAAAAACAACCTCAAAAACTGAGAAATTTTGACTTGCTGACAAGCTTTACAGTGAAGATGAAAGGGACTGCCACCCCACCCCGCCGTTGTCCTGCACCCACGAGCTCCTTCCTGTACTCACTGTCGGCGGAGCGGAGCTGCCATGGTGAGGGCCCCGGGTCCGTTGGGCCGGCTCGGGAGGCGTCCGCCGTCAGAGTGAGTCCTCGCCCTCATGACCGACCAGGCATTTCCAAAATTGTGCGAGAAGAGAGGTCACCATCCTTCCCTGCCACACCCCCTCCGGCCCCTCCTCCGCCCCTCCACGACCGCGCGCGCTCCGATAACGCCTCTGGGTGGCCGTCGTCCTGTTCTCTGTTCCGTTCTGCTTTTCTTTCGACCCGCCGCTCGTGCCGACTCAGACCACACTTGCATGTTCCATTCATGCCCTTCTCCAGACCAGCCACCCCGCTGCCCCCGCCGCCCGCGCCCCCTTCCCCGCCACGCGACACGACGCACTCTTTGCTGCTGGGAGCGCCTGGCCGGGTAGGCACGCTGCCCAACTTCTGTGCATCTCGCTGAGAGGTGTTTGCCTAAGTGGCAAGGAGTACTACCAATGATACAATCAGTGTTGTAAAGAAATCAAAATTTATGAATTGGAAGATACAAAAATCAGTAGAGCAGCGTATACAATTTCAGAAAATTAAAAATTACAAACATTGAATAGTGTATCCTGGAAATGCTGCTTGCATAGGTTGTAACAAATCAATCAGAAAATAAATGGTGCCTGATAGGCCCTCAAAAAGAGAATAAAACCGATCTGGACACCTTTCTCGATGATTATTGAATTCAAAGCACCAGTCTGCAAACACGCAAGCTCTGTAAAGATACTTTGCTGCTTCTACCTCAGAGAATTCATCTTGTCGCTTCTGCAAAAAGGATAGTTTTTTTTAGAAACTGATTACGTTTTTCAAGAAATTTTTAGAGAAAAAAATCAAGAGGAGAAAATACCTTGAACAATTGGTAAAGGGAAATGAAAGTGTATGCATTTCCTGCTGTACCATGGCAAAGACCGCACCCTTTGCGAAGTAGTCCACGCCTCCACACTACTTCACCACAAAGTACAGCAGCAGACAAGTAGCGCCTCTCTCCGAAAATCTAGAATTAAAATCCTGCTTACTTGCAAATCATAAGTTTAGATCTGAGGAAAAGTAAAGTATACTCAACCTCATAAGCAAGGCAAAAAAGTTGCACAGCTCCAGGAGCACCATGGCACCATTGTACAAGACGGTCTGATGTGCTTCCCTCTGAGGATAAAACATTGCCACTTCTAAAACGGCACTCCAGTAAATCATCAATAGTTGGTTGGATGTAATGCCTGAGATCTTCTTCACTTACAAACTCTCTAGCCTACAGAAAATAACGTTTCATTAAATGCATTCCGTTTTTACCGCTTATCAAAATTGGATAACGCAGTACACTTTCACTTCTTTTACCTGAAGCAGTAGATACAGGATACCTGCAGTTCCATGAGCAGCTCCAAAATAATTTTTATCATGCCACTTATATTTTAATGGAGCCTTATATTTTTCATCCACAGCAAGGCTGTGTCCTTGATCAATTATTATTTTTATTACCTAAAAAAAGTCAAGTTCAAAAAATAATAGAGAAGCAGTAGCAGCTACTAGGCTTCTTGTCTTTTCCTTGTGTGTGGGAAACAACTTACAGCTTTTATATTCGATTCGCTAAAATGTACTGAAAAGTTATTCTTTTTCATGAAGAGTACGGAGTACAGAAATCCAACCCGCCCATACAACAGCTCATTAGGCATATCAGAGTTGGGGCTTTTCACAAGCCGGTACATTTCTTCTAATCTGTAGAAAACATTATAAAATAGCAAATATTAATTTACAAATAGTGACAATAATTTCACTTTTTTCATTAAACTTGCCTCTGATTTAGTAATTCTTTAGCTTCTATGTTATCATTAATCAAGGCGTTTAATATAAGAACACCAGAGTTACCATTTAGAAAATTTACTCGAGATCTGTGAGGATTGCTGTGCGCTAATTTTATGAAAGATTTGGCAATCTAGAATACAGATGAAAAACAAGACATTACAATTTATTTTTTTAAAACTGTAAACTGTAATAAATAATAAATAAGTCAAAAGTGACAGTGATACCTGTTTGTGTTCTCCACTAAATCGGCGGCTTGCTAAAAGAAATACTAGTGCGACACCAGCCACTCCTGTGTACACTGAAAATCCTGATGTAGCAACATCTTTTTCATGGGCCATTACATCTTGAAGCAGAATTTCTGCATTCTGTCTCAATTTTGTTATGAACAGTTCTGTGATCTGAAAAAATGGACAAAAATTAATATGGTGGGAAAAAGTGACATCGTAGAATCATGGATATTGTAGTATGTCTAATACTACTAACATCTACCTTGTATACGTTGTTCTCTTTTTCAACAAAGTCGTTTAAAATATTAGCATCAAAGTCTTGATAGATGTTTTCATAGTATCTATCTTTAGCAACAGCGTCTGCTTGCACATTCACAACAGGCCAGATTCCGCTCGCCATAATTTTCAATTAATTGATGATCGATAATGAGAAGATACAAGCATGGATCCAAAATTACTTTGAACCTTTTCATCAAACCAGTCAATCTGCCAAAATTCAGTTAAATATTTGTGTTTGATTCCGATTTTCATCCGGCTTCTTCAGCATCTTGTCAATATTTTGATTTTGAACATTATTCTCAGTAGAGATCCGCCTGACAACTCATTCTGCCAATAAGCTTCCTAGAGGTTAGCCGACCTATCAAAAATTTCGTAAACAGTAAAGTAATCTTTCGTTTGTGACTAGGTTTGTGATGTAAAAGGTTCAAGTAAGTAGCTTTCACAGTAACAAAGGTCTACTCTATGTGTAATCGGTTATTACTTAGAAGAGGCATCACTGCGGAATCAAGGATCATACATTTGTAGCCGAATTTACCAATTTCCCTTTGGTGTCCTGATATTATTTTGCCATGGTTTCCCCAAATATACTTACAATGGTTGGAGCTGGGGCTAGCAAAGTAAAGGAGGCCAACATAAATCTTCATTTTTCTATTTAAAATGTTTCTCTTGTATTTCAGAAAAATATCTACTTCTTGATCGAACATCAATGGACTGTTTCAGTTATAATGGCCAGTGAATTGTCAAATTGTCGTGTTCTTTTCAAACCCAATGAGGACCAAGAACGCTTTTCTTCTAATAATTTTACTTGCTCTGACAAGTTCATTATTTGTGATATTTGGCGGGAATCAACAAACATCTATTCAAACCATAGTATCAGAAACACACAAGCGTTTTAATAAACTGAAACAGCTAAAGGTCAGTAACATGGTCAATTTGATTGCACTTTGAATTTTCGTTCTTCATTTTTGTTTAATTTCATCCATCAAGAAAAGCTTAATTTTGAAGTAATTTTAATATTTTGATAGGAAAACATAAACCAGCCTGATGAGAAGAGATTGCTCACAAGTGAAAAACACTTGTTTCAATTAGGATTCGGAAAAAATCCTCATCTCTATCCTAATTCTTTGTGGAGCAACACATCAGTTCCTGTTGTAGTCACATATGTCAAGACTGCTGAACATGGGAAGCATGCTGTTGCATTTCTTCGAAATGTTCAACACTTCCTCCCCAATACTACAGTTTTAATCTATAATCTAGGTTTGGATCAGAATGACATTCAGACTGTAAGTTCTCTCAACTGGTTTATAAATTGTTCAAGGAAAGGATTTCTTGTCATATTTATTAAAATATATTTTGCAGATTCTAAATTATTGTGAAAACAGTCGGTGCATGGTTTTACCATTTGACTTGGAATCATTTCCTTCACATGTTAATGAGGATGTGTCTCATGCTTATAGGCCTCTCATAATTCAGGTAGGGCTGTTGTAGTCTGAGAAAGAGAACCTTCTTATTATTCTTAAAATATGCAGTAATATTTTTCTTCTTAGGATGCACTTAATAGAGTTGGTGGTGTGCTTTTCCTTGAATGCAATATAAGGCTCACAAAGTCACCAAAGTCATTCCTGAAAGTGCCTATAAATGATCAGAAGGGACATGGTATCATTGCCTGGGCTACAAGACATGCCACATCATCTCTAACCCATCCAAATATGTTTGGATATTTTCAAACCACCACAGAAAACTTTCTTTTTCAGTCTATGGTAAATATTTGCTTTTTAAAAAAGGGAATAATGAATGAATTTGTGTTATGTTAACTCTCTAAAGGTTCTCTTAAAATTGGTTTTAGGTAGAGGCCAATAAGCTTCTCATCTATAACACTGCTGACATTCATAACAACATTATGTTACCGTGGGTGCAATGTGCTTTAACGGAAGATTGCATTTTCCCGATTGGTTTGTATTGTTTATTTAAATTTTATGCCTTCTGCTAACTTTAAATTTTGCTATAAATGCTTTATTTATTTCCTTGCCTCTAGGTGCTCAATCAAGTGGGTGCCATTTCAACAAGAAGCCCCAGTATAGATATTCAGGATGCCATAGATATGATGCCTCAGCTTTAAACATTGTTCTAGGTCTTCAGTTTGACTTCAAAGATGATCTTTACACATATCCCAGTAGTCAGTCTTCAGAAAATGAAGTTCTATTTAGAATTGTTAGTGAGACAGATGCCTTAAATGAGTTTAATGCACTGGAAGGTAATAGCACTATTATTCCTGGGTTTAGGTGAAGCGCTTGTAGCAGATGTCTAGCCAATCACTTATGTGTGTGCTCATGTATTCAATTACTTAGATTGCTCTTTCAAAACTTTTTAATTCAGTAGTGTCAAGTGTGAATCTAGTCATGAGTGTGCCTTAAATGCACTTTTGTGCACAAAGACTAGTAAGAGCAAAACAAAACAATTCAGCCTTATTCTGTAAGTTTTCCATCTGTTTGACAAAATATTATGTTAACTAGTCAGCAGGTTGTTCCTGCCCCTCATTGCAAAAAGACTCCTGCAAAGGAATAATTACTGCCTAATGTCACATGGGATATTGCCACTGATTCAAATGTGTATTATTTGCTAGTCAATATTATTTAAGTGGGTATCTGTTTTCTGGACAAACTATTGCTGCTTAACCTGAATGAAGTCAAAGTGGCCGAGACATTTTCTTTTTGACCAATTATGCCAATTTATATTTTTATATAATATTTCTGAGACATGTTTTTCTAGAAATAAAATTAAAATTTATTTATGCACAATCAGTTTTTCAATCATTCTCAACATCTACCTTAAAAACAATATTGAAGTAAGCATATGTATAAAAATTCATTAGATAAAAACAAAACCACAGCAATTATTTTTCTGTCTGTCTTGTTAGTAGACAGTCATTGAGTTCTCAAACATGCCAAAGAGATCCTCTTCAGATTGCTCACGAGGAGCTAGCTTTGTTATACGAGACTGTAAAAAAAAACATACATATTTAATAACATTTTCAAAAAAAATCTTAGGAAGTTTAAACTCATACATAAGTATATGTATTTTTAGGCAGAAGAAAGACACATACCTGAGGGAGTGTGCCTTTCACTAGTTTTGGAATATCATCTTTCTTATAGCCAAGGGCTGACAAACCATTTTCAACTTTCATAACATCCATGTAACGACGCAAAGTATCTCCCAATATGCGACCTGTTAAATCATTATTTTTTTTCAATAGAAAGGCTTAGTGTGAAACAGATAGATAAAATACATATGTTTCTATTTAACAGACCTGCATCACTTTTCTTAGCATTGCTTATATCAGTACCCAACAGCTCAGCAGCCTCAAGATGTCTTTCTGGGCAGGCTTGTGCAGTAAAATTAAAGACTGCAGGTCCACTCATAACAACTGACAGGCCATGAGGAATCAGTGGATGATCATCACTTGAAAACAAACAGTAGGTAAAAACAGGACAGATTAAGTGTATGAAAAGAGCACTTGGATAATTTTTACTCACTCATAATCAGCAGGCTGAAAGGTCTTCACACCACCTGATATTGGGTAAGACATTCCATGGCAAAGATGAACTCCAGCATTACCAAATCCAACTCCAGCCATTGTAGACGCAAGATGCATGTGTGAGCGAGCCTCAAGATCATCAGAGTGATAAACAGCCCTGAGAAGTAAATTTATGACAGGTATGATAAAAATCAGGAAATACAGCTACAAAATAATAGTAGAAAAATAATTATATTTACCTTTCAAAATACTTCCTCATAATATCAAGGGCAAATTTAGCCCACACATCAGAAATGGGATTTTGCCCATTGTATGCAGGACGCAAGTTTGGATTATCTGGCCTTGGACTTCGTTCAGTGTAAGGAATAGCAGTGTAGGATTCCAAGGCATGGCACAAAACATCAAATCTTAAGGAAAATAGAATAAAAAGTGGTAATTATTCTTATAAGTTCACAGATAAGTAGTCCCCCCCCCCCCCTCCAAAAAAAAAATCCCAAACTCTTACCCGCTGTACACACAAACTTTCTCAGGTAAAGAAAGGGTATGCAAAGGATCAACAATGCCAAGAACTGGGCGCAAAGCTCTGTGAGAAATTCCTGTTTTGACATTCATTTTTTTATAATCAAATATACTAACACCTGTAGTTTCACTCCCAGTGCCTGATGTTGTAGGTACTAAATTTCAAAATAAAACAAAGTTAGTAACAAAGTTCACTGAAATTAAAAATCAACAAAGTTTAAACTGTTATCTTATACATACTGGCAATCAGAGGTTTTAGGGGAACCGTAACTGGCTTTGCTTTACCAATCGGTGCATTGACATAGTCTAAAAACTCTGCCTCCCGATCACAAGAAAATAGATTTGCAGCTTTACAAGTATCAATTACTGATCCACCTCCAACAGCAATGAAACCATCAAAGTTATGAGCTCGTGCATAGTTTGCTGCCTCAATCATGCTAGAAGCGGGATTTAAAGGTAAATTAATATGATGAAATTATCATGGAAAAATTATTAGCCACATTTTGTCAATACCTTCCATCAGTTGGTTCAACCCGAACTTTATCAAATACTTCAAACTGTACACCAGCTCGAGACAAAGAATCAACAGTTGCCTTCAAAGGAGGCAACTTGGCAATGTTTGGGTCAGTCATAACACAAACCTTCTTTGCTTTCATATTTGCCATGTCCATTCCAACTTCCTGAGTCACACCTGGTCCATATCGCACAGTGGAGCATGTCATCTAAATCCAATCAAAATTAGTTGAAGTAAACATTCACTAACTTAAAAATTAATGATGTGCGTTAGAAAAGGTTTGTACCTCAAAGGCATAATCTTTGGATAGCTGAGTGGCGGGTCCTGCAGTGTAGTGTGCAGCATGATTTGCATGGGCAGGGCATCGGCACCTGGGAATAATGTTTGACTACATCAATCTGACACAACTGAAATTATTATGAGCACCAAAAACAAGGAAAAAGGCAATGGAAAATCCCACCTCCCCCTGTATGATTTTAAAGCAGAGCTTGGGGCAGTGGGGTACAAGTTGTATACAAGACAGAAGAAATAGGTGACAGTTGATAAACTTACGAATTGCCCGAAATGGTTTGCATTAAATTTACGATTCTTCCTCGAGAAGCCATTTTGAGGTAGGTTATGCCCACGGGTTGCTAAAAATTTGCAAGCCGTCCGAGTGGCAGAGTGAGCTTTTGCCGTCTTCAGGCCCCAGACAGTGGCTTGTTTGGCGGACGGAATTGTACTGCTGTCTTTCCGCTATCATGGAAGAAGGGAAAGAGTCCCAAGTACCCAAGTCCAATCGCTGTTTGCAACGGCTTGGCAGCAGCAGGTTTCTTGTTTATTTACGAATTGCCACCAGAAACGTCACAAGTGCCCGGCGGCCCCGGCGGGAGCGGGAGGGGGAGGGGGAGAGGGACAGTCAGCTGGGTGTGGGAGGGGGTGGTGGTACCAAGCATGATGGGCTGCCTACCTATCTGGCGGCAATGTTGTGCGGCGCTCCGCCGGCGGCCGGCGCTGCACCAAGGACAGTGCAATTAGAGCATCCAATCCGTTCAGCCTTATCTGAGTGCCCGTCTACTGTCGCACCCTGTGGCAGATAACTGATGCCGTGATCGAAAGAACAGCTCAAATGATAATACATATGAACGCGCAGTGGAAAATAAACGGATAGGGTATCTTTAAAAAAAAAACAACAACACGCACATGCCCAGAGGCAAACATGGTTCTTTCGTACTCCCATCCTAGTGGCACTTCCCCCGGAGGGCAAAAAGCAAAAAGCCAATCTTAGCAGCTTTAATTGTATTCATCGGAGGTGGCGTTAGGTAAACAAAGCGTTAGAAGAGGGCCTCAGGGGGTGGAGAGAGAACAGGTACATTTTTTGAAAAAATAAATCCAAATAGAGTCATTGATTATTACACGATAAGCTTCGAACAGCATCAGTATCTGTATATTTGCCCGGCAACGGCCACGACGTTGCGTGTGTCGCACCCGCGGAGCGCGTCCGCCCCGCGTGTGTGCTCACGTGTCGCGCGCCCGGAGCGGCCTGCCAATCACACCCGGCACAATGGCACACCCCCTTCCTCCCCGCGACAATATTTCGATTAGGCGCCGCGGAGTGAGTAATGAATCATTGTACAAAAGCCAGACAATAGATTACTCCGGGTTGTACACGCGCTAGCGCGGGAGGTATTGGCCGCGCGGTCGCATCACAGGGCTACAGGAGGATGACTCTTTACCGTCAAGTTTGCGTCACTTTTTATTTATTTATTTTTTCTCGCTCTTAGCGGCATCGACCGACAGCGTCGCGCTCTTGGGGCGCGTCGTTACCGTATGTGCTTCGGGTTTCGCCTTCGCCCCCCTGGCATATGACGGCGCCGCGAGCGTATTTGAATGTCATTGGGATTCCCTCGCAGTACGACAGACAGCATTCAAGGCAAATTATTTTCCTCAAAGACAATCGGCCAATCACTCGTCTCGCACCGCTGGAGAAAAATTGTGACGAGGCGTGTGACTAAAAGCGACCCAATTTTTTCATAAGTGGTTCGATTTTTTTTTCTTGAATCTCTTCACCCCCTCCACTATTTCCCCGCGGGCCCACCTGATTACCGGACTCTTGCGGTCGCCCCGGGCGAGTGTCCGTGCCACTGTCTCTGACTGATCGTTAATCCAGTTTCCCATGCCCGGCCCCGTCATGCCCACCAAAAGTCTGTGGTGGCGAGAGAGTTGTCCGAGGGGGCCGCTATCGGGGCGGATCACAGTCGTGGAGCCCTTTCCAACGCAATCGTCGGTCGCTCTCCAGCCCCGGGCAGCAGCGGCTGCGGTGGTGGTGGGAGAGCAGCGGGGTGGCGGTGGGGGGCTCCTCTCTCCCGCCCCATCCCTCATCCCTCCCACGGGGACGGGGACGCGACGGGGAGCCAAATGCAGCGGAGAGGTGGCGACAGAGTTAAAAGGCGGAGAGACTAATGTACGCGCGGCTCATTCTGTGTGCCGCATTAGTATTTGAGTCTCACGCCCGCCCCAGAAGGGTGTCCTGGGAGTTCCCACGCAACACGATTGATTTCGATTCGAGCATGAGAGAAGAGCGCCCTTCTCTCATGATTCGAGGCATGTTATAATACATGCATTGAAATAAAATGCAAAAATTAAAAATATGCACGCATCCTTGACGAATCCAGACCACTGGCACACTGAGGGATCGTAAAGAAAGTACGTCCGTTTTTCTCAGATTAATTCGGCAAATTGCTGGAGCTCGGCGCCTGCGAGCCTCGGGGCAGGCCACCCTGCAGTACACGCATGCCCTGCAGGCAAGATATTGCCGACCTATTAGGCGCCTGCATAGGCGAAACTTTCGCAGTTTCGTTACCGCGAACGACGGACGTACTTTCTGGATGATCCCAAATCACAGAGGACTTTCTTTTTTCCCAGCAGATAGATACAAATTCGTATATTTTTCAGATTTGATTCAATACTTCCGTCTTGCAGTATGCGCTCACGGCTGTGCAGTGCATCTTGCAATGGTCAAAAAAATCACTTGCCACTCATCATTTCGGGTGCACACATAAGTGCAACGTTGTTGATCAAAACACTTCATATTGAGAACTTAATTTTATGGGTGCTTCATTGCGCTACAGAGGCAACCGCCCCGGGCGCCTTTGGCAGCCTCCGACCGCCCCAAGGTTCTCCTTCTCCATGCTCCAGCGCGCGGCCGGCCGGAGGCTGGTTGGCCCGTGCCAAACCAGAAAGCGAGCCGCGCTGGTTTGCGAATCGCCTAGATCGTGGGAGGGGTGGAGGCACGTCCGTCCGTAAGGTTACGTGCCGGCAGCCGAGTCCCCGCGCAGTGCGCTGCCCTTGCAGCGCCTTGCCAGTGCAGACTATCGCTGGAGTACGCTCTGGAGCCCAGTCTCCAGCTCCAGTCGCTACAGAGTCTCCGGTGTTGGCAGCTGTGGCACGGCGCCGCGCTGGTGCACCATTTCCGCAAAGCACAAGCAACTCTCCTCTCAGGGAAATGATTCGCGGGTTCTTAAGTAGCCTGAGCAGCGCGGCATAACCGGTGCACTGCACGGTGCAGTGGTGGGGCGGCCGGGTGAAGCCTGGGTGCAGCAAAACCTAGCACACATCATGTAACCGGCTGAGCTTCCCCGAGCGAGCAGCGACCGGCCTGAGCGGGGCTTGGCGGTCCGTGTTCTGTGCTGCGCCCGAGCCTCATGATGGGGCTGTGCGTCGCCAGATGTTGCCGTCTCATGTCTTGCCGAGAGAAGAAATACGGTTCGACTTCGGGTATCGCTGCGCTCCGCGCCATGGCGGAGACAGGCCCGGGTGGGTGATGGGGTGTTGCAATGGCGGCGCCGATGACGCAGGTCAAAACATACTAAATGCAGTCGCCTGCGCCTGCCTGGACCAACTGAGACTGATAGGATACGAATGCCTAACGCAAGCGGGTGGCAGAGCCCGATACAGGTGCCCCCAAATCAGGTGAAGCGAGGGAACGTGGAGGCCAAACGCCCGAATCCCCTCCCCTCCGCAGGCACGGCACCCGCCCTGCACTTGGGCGCTCAGGGCGGGGTGGGCAGCCGTCTCCGCGCGGCTGCTCGGCGGGTCGGCCTACCCAACGCGTTGCAGGCGCTTCGCGTCGTCACGGGAGTCGTTTTCAGGGACGGCACCGGAATAATTACACGTTTTGGAGCTTTTGTGGTAATGGCCGGGCGGCTGTGCTGGCCGCGGCTAGCCGGGCGGCGACGAGCCGTGCACGTGCGCGATAGACGCCTGGCGGGACTGTTCCTGTTCGACCCAAATGAGGGAAACCAGTTCCAACGCCACGATATGGATGGATTAGAGACGCCGCCCGGGCCAGGCGGGCACAGTCGCCGACGCGCCGCGCCCGATTGCGAAACGTTAAGGAGCATAGAAGAAAAAGTAAAGTAATAAAAATGGAACTGGATTGGAGGGGTGTGGTCCGGGGTGTGGGGGGTACTCGAGCGGTGGACTACATCAGAGTGCCGAGCCGGCCCCCCGAGGCTCTGAGACACGCGACATGTCGTTTCGCGGATCGTCGTGGAGGGAGAGGGGCCCGGGCCCGCGCACGGCGCCCGCGCACCGCGCCCGGGCTGTGCGGCCAGGGGCGTTACGACGGTACTTACCCGCGGATGGATGGCTCTGCAGCCAGGACGCCGCAGCAAAAACAAACTGTCTGGTCGGCCCCGGCTGTCGCGGAACAAGTAGACCCGGCCCGGCCCAGCCCACACCCGGGGGTCGCAATAGGCGCACTCGCGCCCGCGCCCACCGCGACAGTCTGCATGCCGATGATGACACGGTGACATTATTTGCGCCGAGTCCTGTATGGCCGGGCCTCAGCCGGGCCTGCAGGAGGGGCTGCTTTGTCGGCCGAAGCGCGCGCGGGGGCCCCGGCCATAGAGGGGTGCATATTTCGACCAGTCACAGTGCAGGGCCCGGACAAATAGCTTTTCCAGTCATTTTCCAGTCACCAGTTAATCGGCAGAAAATCACCCCTAGAGACTCCAGTCACTTTTCAAGTCACGTCCACTCATTTTCTAATCATTTTCCAGTCACCGATCCAGATTTGACTACGAGTCAGAGTACATCCATTCCTGAAGTGATGTACCTCTAGGACACCCCCATCGTCCCGGCACGAGCCTGTCCAGGCGTCCTTCGAGTCCATTGACGTCATGGCTCCTCTCCCGCGGAAGTCTTGCCTCCGTCACATTTCGATTCGAATCAAAAACCAGCTCCTTAGTTGTTATCCAATATGATTACGTATTTATATACTTTTTTAAATGACTCTTTTCCTTTTCACACCTGAGAAAACCCCGAGGCAACGAAAAGCGCCCTTGGGCTCCCCACATTGTCGGCAAAAGTAAGATCAGATTCAGATATCTATCTAAAGCGATAGAAAGGGTGGCGGTTGACGGTGCCTTCGCCAACCGCAGGTGGCGGGGTGGGGCGGGGGCAGGTAGGGAGTAGGGTGCATGGGTACCTGCAAAACACACGAGGCATCTGAGGCACACATCGATACGCGGCCAGTAAAGATTGCCCCTGATCGCGATTTAAATATGCTGCATCTCTGCCAAGGGCATTTTGCGGGGAGCCGAGGCCCACCAGGATAGGCAGCCCGTCGGTCTCCTGCTCCCCCCGCTGCCGCCTGTGCCCCCGCCCCGGCCCCGCCCCGCCCCGCGCGGGCCACAACGCCCCGTCGGCGGCCGCCGACGTTGGCGCGCGCCGCCAGTCTACCGCGAGCTTAGATCCACTTGGGACACGGCGAGCTGTTCTGCGGCCTCTCTGCTGGCCTGCCCGAAGCGTGCGCGCGCGCTGCTAGTCGTCCCCGT